AGGTATGAAGAAGGATGTGGTCGTATTTGTATCGAAGTGCCTTACTTGTCAGCAAGTGAAGGCCGAGCATCAGAGGCCAGCGGGTTTGTTGCAACCCTTGCTTATAGCTGAGTGGAAGTGGGAACATGTCACGATGGATTTTGTTATGGGCCTTCCAAGGACTCAACGGGGTAGTGATGCCATTTGGGTGGTGGTTGATCGGTTGACCAAGTCGGCCCATTTTATTCCTATGCGCGTAAGTGATTTGGTAGACTATCTTGCCGACTTATATATTAGGGACATAGTGAGATTACATAGGGTCCATACGATGATTGTTTTGGATAGAGATCCGCGTTTCATAGCTCGGCTGTGGCAGAGCTTGCAGAGTGCCTTGGGCACTAGACTGACTTTTAGCATGGCTTACCATCCCCAGACTAGTGGGCAGTCCGAACGTACTATTCAGATCCTTAAGGACATACTTCGAGGCTGCGTCCTTGACTTTAAGGGTTCGTGGGAGAGACATCTACCCTTAGTGGAGTTTGCCTACAATAACAGTTTCTAATTGAGTATTGGCATGGCACCGTTTGAGGCCTTGTATAGTTGATTGTGTAGATCGCTTGTGTGTTGGGCCGGGGTGGGTGATGCACCTTTGTTGGGCCTGGAGTTGGTGCGGGAAATGACGAAGAAGGTTGCACTTATCCGTAAGAGGTTGGTTACAATCCAAAGTCGCCAAAAGAGCTATGCCGACCGTAGGACGAGACTCTTGTCTTTTGAGCTGGGAGACCATGTTTTTTTGAAAATATCACCTAGGCGGGGTTTGATGAGATTTGGAAGAGTGAGAAGTTATCCCCTCGGTTTATTGGCCCTTTTGAGATTCTTGAGCGGATTGGGGAGGTTGCATATAATACCGCCACAACTTTCTAGAGTGCATGATGTGTTTCATATTAGTATGCTTCGGAAGTATGAGCCGGATCCATCACATGTGTTGGATTGGACCGACTTAGAGGTAGATGAGGATGCCTCGTATGAGGAGAAACCGATGAGAGTCTAGGATAGACGAGACCAAGTCTTGCGAGACAAGACAATTCCCTTAGTCAAAGTATTGTGGAAACACCACGGGGTTAAGGAAGCAACTTGGGAGCGTGAATTCGAAGTCCGAGAGAAATATTCAGACTTATTTGTTGATGTTTGATCATATGTTGAGATTTTAATTTGTGTATGAACTTTACAGAGATTGTATATGTTTTGAATTATAAGAACATTGTATATGTTATGGGCATTTTGGATGCATGGAATCTATATAAGTGTTGTATATGTCTTGAGAATGTGGAATATTAATGGATATTATATCATTTTTGGAAGCATTGTACATGCCATGTGAATTTCTTGAAAATTTAAATTCTGGTCATGCATTGTGAACGTTTTGAGGAATTGTAAATTTCATGTTAATATGGGACTTGTGTATCGAGTCAATGGGGATGGATGACCGGAGGTTGGGTCATGGTGATTACCTTGTAAGAATAACCTTGTTTTGCATGATCTAATGTTGATTTTGAACTTAATTTGAAATTTTGGGGACGAAATTCTTTAAGGGGGGGGGGGGATAGCAATTCTGGTTTTGACCCATCACTTGTGGTGTTCCGGACTCGGGTTTGTATGGTTTTGGATGGTTATTCATATCTTGTTTTCCCTTGTCTTCCCTCTATTTTGGTTATCGGGTTGTAATTGTGTGTTTGGAATAGGTTGGTTGCTTGTTTTTCCAAACCTTTGTTGTCCAGATTTTGGCTTCTCCGCTCGAGTGAGTATTCTTGCACTAGAGCGGGCTTCTCGATTTTTGCTCCTCCGCTCGAGCAACCATTCTTGCACTCGAGCGGGATTTGGAAACTCCCAGTACTTTGCAGGTCTACAAATTTACTAGGAGGGTGATTTCTACGCTTGAGCAGCATTTCTTATGCTCGAGCGGGTGGGCGCTCGAGCGGCCCTTTTTGTGCTAGAGCGTAGGTTTGTTGTCTGTAAAACTACTGGATGTATGTATTCTGCGCTCGAGTGGAACAACTTATTGTGTTTGACGCTCGAGCGTCAACTCCTCCACTCAAGCGGATTGTACATATATCAAATCGCGAAAATGACATTTTATATCACTTTTTCATCCTTCTCTCTCTCTAAAACTTTCCAAAAACCTAGATCTTTACACTCTTCCTCTAAAACACACACACACACTCTCTCTCTCTCTCTATCTACATTTTGACCTAGATCCTTTGGGTTCTGTACCCTAGTGCCTTTAAGAAAAAGGTAGAACGCCTCTAGATCTTCGTTTTGATCCGAACAAAGTTGGGTTTGAGCATCTTTGGAATTCCATCCTTGCTTGGCTCATCTTCTTTTCTTGAGGTAGGGATTTTCTACACTTCCATATGACTTTTAGCTTAGTTATTTGTCATTGTGTAACAATGGTAAGATTTGGGGTTATTGTGAACAAACCTAGGGTTTGGGTGTAAAATGAAAATAGAGGTTTTTGGCGAATGTGAAATAAATGGGCATGGGGTTTGAAAATGAAATTATATTGTGTTAAAATTTTTAATTTCGATACTTGGGTTGATGTTTGGAAAAAGGGAGAATTTTGCCTTATTTGGATCAAATTTGTTATTTTGTACAAATAATTAAAATTGACATCGAAAATGTGAAATTGGATGATTAATGATATAAATGGTGGAATTAGATATGTATTATCTCACACATTGGGAAAATTTTGAATGAACTATCTGTCATGAGATCGAATATCTGTTTAGAAATAATTGTATTGAGCTATCGGTGGAGGATGGCTATGATTGTTGTAGAAATTGCATGAGGATTAGGTGAATTAAAACTAATCCATTGTTGGTTGTCTGCAGTTGAATACACCGGTGGCTAAGTTTGAGGTAGCCTTTACTAGCCTCTCTAGGTTTGCACCAGAGTTGGTGGCGACTGAGGAGTACTGTTACTTGGAGTTTGAGAAGAGGTTAAGCACTGAGCTTATTTTCAAAGTGCACGGTTCGATGATTAGAGATTATGGGCGACTTGTAGAGTCGGCGGCTCATTTTGAGACTGTGATGCAGATGAAGGAAGAGAGGATGAGGGGCTCTAGGAGGAGTCAGGATTTTCAGGGGGACAGCAAGAGGCAGAGGGTCTTACCCCACAGTAGTCCTAGGGAGCACAGTCAAGGTCTGCCTTTCCAGTGCCGAGTTCGGGTTTTGGGAGAGGTGGTCAAGGAGATTTCACTTGTTTCAAGTGTGACCGGTTGGGCCATAAGTCTCCAGCTTGCCCGTAGAGAGGAGGAGGGCAATGATCTACATTGTTTTCAGCTCGCTCTCAGAGCTAGAGTCAAAGGAGAGGGCAACCGCTCAGTTGTTATGAGTATGGGCAGGCAGGGCACTTGAAGAGATTTTGTCCACAGTTTTGTGGCACACTTGGTGCGTTTAGTTTGAGACAGACATAGAGCCACCAGCCGATACAGTTAGTACAGGCCTCGAGGGTCAATCGGGGAGCCTCCTCGGCTTAGTCAGTGCATCAGGCTTATGCTCCGAGGGGTGAGCAAGTTGAACAGAGACCGGTAGGGCGTATGTATACTGTTACCGCACTAGATTTAGCACCAACACCTTCAGTAGTGAGAGGTACTTTTTTGTTTTACAATTCAGTTGCTAATGTGTTTGGGACTATGAATCTTGGGACTATGAATCTCCCGAAATATTTGGTTGGATTGGATGTGTATCCCGTGTTTGTTTTCTTATGGGATTAGATCTCTGAAAATGACTATTTTTAATGAATCCAATGTTTGGTTTGACGGATTGGATAAGTATAATGAAAAAAAATATATTAAGGGTTGAAGATTCTCTTAATTGGAATTATAGTGAAATAATATTTTGAAATAGTAGAAGTTTGAGTATGTGGTTGGTTGAAATATATAATTTGATTAATTTTTTTCTCATATTTGTATAAAAAATTGACACTTACGACCAAATCATTATAAGTCTGATTATGAAAAGTTTTTGAGATGTCAAACATCCATTTGTAAATATCTTACCTATTAAAAAAAAAATAAATAAATAAAAGAAAAAGGAAAAAATGTGTAGTTTTTGGATGTGTGTTTATCAATTTTGTTTTGTGAACATAAATAACTGATGTTTTAATTTAAAAAATTAAAAAGTATAAAAAAAATAAATTGAGTTTTTTTGGAGATAAAAGAAATCATCTAACTCCTCTATATATTATTTTAAGATGGACTATTTTAATCACATAAAAGAATAGAAATTATATTTAGAGATTATCCCTATATATTATGCTATTATATATAAATATAGCGGTAACAAATTAATTAATATATATATGAAAAGTTATACTAAACTTTTATTTTCAATTAATTGAATTATGATTAACAAACTAACAAATACAGTAATTGTATATTAGGATAGAAAGCGGATAACAAAAATATAAAAAAAAAACACAATGATATTTAATAGTTTTAAATTTACCTATTCATACAAAAATCTAATGTTGTGGTACAATCTTGAATTCCCAATAAATTTTCACATTTTTTATAAAATAAAATGATAATAAAAATTTGATACTTATTTTTTTTACTTCAATTTTATGGTTTTCATTGAAAAACAAAAAAAAAAAAAAACAAAATCCGATCAAAATCGTTGGCACAGAATGGGTATAGATACTTCGATTGCAACCATCATCACCAATAATTCTTCTCCACCATGTAAACCTTTAAACAAACACATAAATCTCACTAAAACCAAAACCAAACCAACAACAGAGAAAGAGAATCATACAAGAAAAAAATAAAATTAAAAAACAAATAAATTTATGCAGTGATAGTGTCACGACCCAAACCCGACCCTAAAAGTTTGGTCCATGACCAACCTGTACATAGGCCTCAAAACAAAATTTCACAATTATTTATTCAAATACGGGGCCTTAAGCGAAAGCAAATACCAACATAAAGACAATGCCCATTGAGCTTGTGCATACATGAAGACTCAGATTAATTTAAGCATTTAAATATACTTTCGATATTTACATAAATAATCACAGAACTTATATAGATCTCACACACAAATACATAAGACTCAATAAAATACATATTCTCCAATACAAAGTTAAAGCCTCGACACAAAGGCGTAACCCGGGTGGCTTCACAGAGAGGTGGACCTCGATACAACTCTAGTGTTGATCCCCGATGGCTCACCTACATATATAAAATAAAAGGGCGAGCTAACGCCCAGTGAATAATATTAAAGTAAAGAGGTTAATGAATGATGTCCTTAACATTAGGAAAACATATTTCATAATTCTAAAATGTATCTTAAATCATTTCAAAAGAAACATTTACTGTATCATAATCCATTCATTTTCAAATGGAATACATATTTGAAATTATTACAAAACATTTTACATGGTACGTGGTACGCTCACTTATACAAAAGGTTAGAAGCACATTTCAAAATAGGACATCCATTCATGTATATAAAATAATACTTCGTAACACGAGGCATATAAAATAACACATCGTAACATGAGTCATATAGTGATGTAAAAGCATTTGTATTGATATCATTTGTTCTAAACGACCTAAGGTCCATGTATAACAAAACGGCCTCAGGCCCAATCATGTATCAAAACGACCTTAGGTCCACACATATCATGTCGTATCACTGTATCTGATCAAGGAGTAGATGGAAAATCGACATGTCTTCACCTCTCCTTGGGCCCAATTCATGTATGTATGGACCTAAGAGGTGTCTCGTACGGATCCTAGGGGTAACTCACACTGTAGCACTTAGTTCCGTACAACACTTTGTTTCATCCCAAAATGATTAGGTCTTAAAGACCGAACAACTCATATCATGCCATAGCATAAGTGAAATAGATAAACAGAATGGCCTTGAGCCCACCATATCATAATATAACAATTCGCATTTCCCGTTCATAATTTATTTCACATTTCTTGGAAACTTGTGTATTTAAATAAAATGTAACATTTAGAGAATCATGTCATACATAAATCAAGATAGATAATGAAAAACATATCTTTTCTATACTATTACTCACAGTGATGGGCTTCTGATAGTAGTTGGACGATGTCCTCGTCTTGACCTACGACCATAATTACATAACATAACATATGAATATAACTAATCCCTTTCTTTTCTCTTTAATCAATTAGTTATGTTGGTTCTAAACTCGTTAGTCCTCAATAGGTCATAACTCGTGTCTAAGAAAATAGGAGGAAACGAAAGGAAAATGGGTTAGAAGAAGAAATGGTATAAAACCAGTAGACGGAAAGTGAACAACCTTTACTAATTTGAGCATATCTATTTGTGTACTTAGAATTTTGGTGTGAGACTACCACCATTGGAAACTAGACTTCCGGGGTTTGAATTTAGGCTTAAGAATAACTTCAAATGGAGTCCAAAGAGATACGCTTATTCGAAGTTGGGCTAAAACAGGCGTGCCCCGCATTTGCGGGAAAAGGGGGCCGCATGTATGGGAATCGAGTCGTACGTGCGGGACAAGGGCCTTTTATTTCAGAATCATTTTAGGTGCTGGAAGTGGACTGCCACACGTGCGGAAAGCTCCGCCGCATGTGCGGCTCTAGGCAAAATCTACTGTCTGAAATCCTTATTGGTTCTAACACTTGTTTTTTCCATTTTCTAAGCTTGGTTTCAACTCTAATCACCCAAAAACATGTAAAATTACCCCACAACATAATAAACTAACTGTAACGCCCTCAAAATAAACCCATAATTCATACATTCATGACACAAGAAATTGACAATATATTCAAGAGAATAAAGTGTACATCTATTTATCAGAGTATTTATCACAAAAGTATTACATGTTGACAACAAAAGTAAATGCCTTACGGGCTTACAACTTTCCAAGCCAACACTTGGTTACAAAAAGGAGAGTACTAACTCATACACATTAAGCTTCATTTCAGTTTCCTTCACTTATACAGTTTCGATTCATAATTATGGCTCAGAACCTGGCCAAACAATTCAATGAGACTATAACACATATTAAAACACTTCTATACTTCACAATTCACATGGGAATATAACTCACATTAAAACACTTCCATATTTCAAGTGACACACAGATTTACTGTATCAGAGGAGTCCATCCCCTATCTCCTCCCAAACAGGTTTGAGAGTCCATCCCCTATCTCCTCTCAAACCATGGAGTACATCCCCTATATCCTCCCAAACAATATACGTATGCAATGTATTTAAACATTTATCATATACAATGATCAATCAATACACACATTTACTGTATTATTCCAACCGTCATATTCAATAACATATTCAACGTGATTAGTTTCAGTTTTCCCTAATCATCATACAATGTCTACAACAATCAAGACTATCCTCCACCGATAGCCCAAAGTAGTTATCTCTAAACAGATAAAAATTTATCAAATAGATAATATCAACATTTTCATAGGTGAGTGATTAATTTATCCAACTACACCATTCCATCTTATAATTTCCCAATTTCATGATTTTCAACTCAATTTCATAATTCCATACTTTTCCCAAATTAATTATGTAAATTAATTTATCACACTAATTAGGAAATTTTTCCTTTTTCTCAAATATTGATCCTAAGACCAAATTTCACCAATTTGACTTACAAACTCATATTCCCAAAGCGTTATATGGACATGGAGCTTTAAAACACAAAACCCCTATTTTATAAATTACAAATCAAACCCTAATGTAGACACCCCATTTTTGACCGTCCTCAAGACTTGGACATCACCGTTTGAACACTCGGTGATCATCCATGTTCATGTTCGTGTTCGTCTTGAGTTCTCGGAGGTCTCGGCCACGCGCCTTGCCTCAAGACCTCTCGACTTGCCTGTTTTGTGTTTGGTTTTGCACCAAACACTTGTGTTTTGCTTTTGAGGAGCAGGGAATGGCTTGTTGGCCATCCCCACATCTCACCGGCCATGGCTTGAGGCCACCGGATATTGTTTTGTTGCCATCGGCCAAATGTTTGGTCGGTCGGCACTTTGTTTGGTCGGTCGACCATTTATTTGGTCAATTTGGCATTTTTGGCTGGCCAACCACTGTGCATCTGCTTTTGGCAGATATTTTGTGCCAGGTGTGCTAGCTGGCACCCACTTTGCACCCCCTTCATACACGTGTATGAAGGGATTTCACTATTGCTTAGCTTGTTTTGTAAGCTTTGCAAGAGTGATCCTCCATAAAGGGAGGCCTTCTCCTCCCTCCTCAAGGGTTACAAAAAAAGAGTGCCAGAGGTCTGAATTAGGGTTAGGTCTTGTGTATCTATCTATCTCTATATCTCCCTCTCTTTTGCTCTTTGTGTGTGTATTAAGGTGTTTTGTTCATAGTTTTGCACACAAACACCTAGAGTTACACTTTCCTTTAGCTATTGAGGTACCAAGGAGTGATTTTCAGAATTCTTGAGTTGATCTAAGCTTGGAGAAGGGGCTGGAGTGGTCCTTGTGAAGAAGGTCTTCAAGGGTAAGAACTTTACCCCTTTATTCCCCATTTTTGCATAGACTTTTAGCCATCCTTGCATCTATTTTTAAGCTTAACTTATAACATATAAAAGTTCTGATTTTAAGTGCTTAAAATAGTTGTTTAAGGTTGTTTCGGTGTTTGGGGTTGTTTGACCCCTCTTAGGCCTTGTTTGGCCCCCATTTTGTGCTATTTTGGTGAGCTCCGGGACCACCTTGTTTGGGCCTCCACACCACTGAAATCCAGAGGGATTTCAGTGGTGGGGATGGTGCTTTGAGGTCCTAAGAAGGAGAGGGCCATCCCCTCTCCTTGTTGTCTTCAAAAGCTATCATTTTAGCCTCATATGTGAGCACCATTGTTGAGTTCTTGTTGGCCATGTCTTAGCTAATATTTGTGCTTATTTTTCCATGATATAGCACTATTTTAAGTTGGTTTAGACACACCATGCTTGCTTTGCATACTTGTCTTGTAATGCCATGAATTGCCTTAACATGCTTTGTGCTTTGAGCCTTGTTTCTAGCATGTTTTTGGCCTAGCTTTGTAAAACTTTTATGCATGTTTTAGTATGCTTAAGGTCTGTTTGGAGTTGTTTTGGCCATCCATGACATGCTTTGCATAGCCACCTTGCATTTTGGCTTGTTAGCCTTGGGTGTGTGAGTGTTGAGCATGCATTACTTGGCTTGTTTCAGTGGTTTGGCACCACTTATAACATCAGTTCAGTCCTTGTGGTATGTTTGTATGCTTGCATTTGATGCTTCTTTAATGCTTCAAGAGGTTGGTATCTTATGCTCCATGTTTGAACCTTTTTGTATGCCTTTAGACTTAGGCCATTTAGATGCTATCTAGGTGTGCCTTTGACCTTGTTTTGATCTGCCTTGGGGTGGTTCTGAGTCCCTATGGCCCTTTGGGACTTGCTTCATATAGCTATGGTTTAAGCCCCTTGGCTTACCTTGAGTTTTGGACATAGTTGCATGCCTTTCTTGCATTGATAGGTCGATTTGGCATCATTCCTCATGTATTTTCAGAGCTTGCTATGCTTGCCATTAGTCCTTGTTTATCCTCTTTTAAGTGTGCTTAAAAGTTGCTTCTTTATTCTTAAGAGTTGGGCCATGTGTGCATGCATGTTTGTATGTGTTTTGGCCTTCATTTCCTTAGCATTTGGCCACTGTTTTGGACCTAGTAGAGAGCTGTCCATCTTGGTGTACGTCCCTCCTTTGCATGTTGTTGCATGCTCGCCTTGTGTGTTGTTGCATACTTGGCCTATCGCATGTGTTGCATGCTTGAATCACATTGCATTTAGCATGTTTTCTTCCTTTTGTCTTGGTTGCTTAACATGTTACGTGTCTTGCATGTTTACACGTTCGCATTGCATATTGCATGCTTGTTAGCTCGCACATGTTGTTACATGCCTTACATGCTTAGTACACATTACTTGCTTTCATGCTTATGACCGCATACTTAGCTCACATGTCTAGTTTGCATTGCATTGAGCATGCATGCCTTGTCTCTTGATCAAGTGATAGAGGTTGGGCCTTATGTGTTTATTTGATTTGCATTTCATTTGACATCAAAATGCATAACTTGGCCTCTTTGACCATCACGCATTGAAATGCACGATTGGTGGCCCAAGGGTCGAGGACCATCCTCCTTTGAGTCATGAACATGATAAGGAGGGTGTTTGTGCAAACATTTGCTT